GATTTGGATCTAAATTGAAGAACACCTCTTTTTTTATCGAAACTTGGAATATTTTAGTGGCAAAATAATACTGATAAAACTTTATTGAAATTTCATTTCCCATATCACGCAATGCATTCATTACATTTAAAACAAAATATGATAAACGAGTAAAGACAATTTCATTTATCAAGCCTGATCTTTTGGTTGCTTATATCATCACCAAGTTTCTCAATTTAAGTAGTCAATGTCTTTTTTATTGATATTTTCATAGTAGTTGGTTCTTTACCTTTATTTTGTACTACTCTAATAACTCGCTTGTCTCGGTTAAAAATTTCAACAAAAGTATTTACATTTATTTCATTATCAAGTGTAATCTCACTTTTAGTGTCATGTTTATTTGAATCCAAAGACCTTTCAACAAGTGTGACATCTTCCATGAATACTCCATCTAGAAAAATACCTAACGAAAGTGTTCATACATCATTTCCAGTGACCATAATGTCACCAAACATTTGCCACATCAATTTATTCAAGCATGGTTCAATTTCTTTCTTCTTAAATACTTTGTAATCATTATTTTCTTAAATCATAACCAAATGGCTAAATGTTATCTTTGAAATTTCAAAGATGATTACCAATATGAATTTCAAGTAACTTAATACATTATAATATTTATACATGTAACACTAACCTATATTTTTCCAATCCACCACTATTTGGTTGCATCAAGTGCCTTCTTAATGGACACCACCCTAAATTTGTAGGATTCTTAAATAACTTAGTCCATAACTTCCAATCTTTTTTTAATGTGTCCCACTAGTTTTTCAATTGAGTTTTTTCTCATAATTTATTTGTCTTTCACTCTAAAAAGCGCAACATTTCTCACCTTTTGGAATTTAGATTTGTAGATCTATTACATACATTAACTTTGTACATTTAAAGTTAACAAAATATCATTATTAGCTCGTGATCCCAAGTTCACAAAATATCATTATTATCTATCCATTACAAATAATAACATTTTTTCACCCACTTTGTTGTTAGATATGTTTATGAGCAAAATATCAACTAAATTTTAATAGATGATGGATATATTATCAATTTTCTTCCTTTAAAGACAATGAAAGAACTAAAGTTCTTTTAAATGATCTATCACAAAGTTGCTTGATGATTCAAGGATTCAATAAAAAGGTAAAGAGACCATAGAAAAGTTAGACTTCAACTTTTTATTGGAAATATGAAATAAAATCTATTATTTCATATGATTAATGTTAAGACAACATATAACATATTATTAGCGTGACCATGGATAAATTAAAGTGGTGTAATGTTTTAATTATTCACTAATATATCATGTATTATAAATGGTTAAGTAAAGATAATTGTTGCAGAATTTAAGCCATTTTCTATAGTGAAGCACATTTTATTGATATTAAATTTTATTTAAAAGTATTTTTGTAAAAAAAGTATTGCTCAATCAACAAAATAAGTAGATGAAATTGTCATAGCAAAAAGGAAAGAATTTGACTTTTTTCACTAATGAAAATGATGAAATTATTTAATGTTTAAAATTTTAACTCTTTCACTCACTAACTCGAAAGAATCAAATGTTTTTAAGCCTCCATTGAATAGATTTGTAAGATCATTAAAAAAATCTCTTGTTGAATATGATGTTCTACCTTTACATCGAACTAATGGTTTTGATCCTCTTGCCTACAAACTACTTGTTAGTAAGTAAGAAGATGTTACAAAACTATTTCACGAAACTATTGATCCAATCGAAGAAAATTCATACAGTTCAATCAAGATCAATTAATTTTGACAAAAGAATATCGATCATGTTAGAAATTCTAAAGCTGAACTTGGATTTTTTTCATTAAAATTAAAGATCATTCATAAAGAAACTTCAAGATACAGAAATGTGGAAGAAATTCCTAATTAGCCAGAAAATTCAGTCAAGCTATTTAGGTTTTAATTTTTTATCGTTTGGTTATACATTTAATATGAGATTCTGTGTTTAACCATTTGAGTATGCATTTTTCTTAAAGGACAATTTTTTATAGTATTAGAAAAAAAAATACATAGAAGCTTTTGTAAGTAAGTATGTTCCTATTCATTCAAAGTTTAGAAATCCAAACTTTAAAAAGGTTACGTACAAAAAGAAAGAAAAATGCCTCATATTAAATAAATTTAAGGATTTTCATAGTGAGAGTCCTTATTGAATGAAGAGATAAAATAAATAGGTGGTAATTACTAGTGAAGCATTGAAGGCTAAAAAGCACACTGTTGTAATAACCAAATAGGTTCCATGTATAAAACAAAAAAAAGCTTGAAGAAACAAAAATTTTTACAATTAGTCATATCTTTATAGAAGAAATTGGTGGTAAATCTCAAGAAAAAGATACTTAAGAAACTTTTCCATCATTTGAAAAAGGAAATCAAAATATAATATATAAGCTAAAAGATATTAACATTGACACTAGTAAAGGTCCTCATCTAATTGTTATCAATGCATGTTTGGCTCTATAAGAAGAGTAAGCTTATCTTGATTTTTTGATAGAGTATAGAAATTTCTTTGCTTTAACTTATAAGGAAATATCAAGAGTTGACTCGAAAGTTGTTGTTCATTATTTGGTTTTAAAAAAAAAGTGTTCAACTTATTGAGTAAACTCAACATCAATTTCATCATAACATGATTCGTCAAATTAAAACTAAAGTGAATAAACTCATCGAAGCTAGCTTTATTCGAGAAACCAAATATCCCACTTAGATCTAAAATATATTCTAGTTAGAAAAAAGAATGATCTAATTTGAATTTGTGTGGATTTTCAAGATTTGAATAATGCTTGTCCAAGTGCAACAATTAGACATGAAACTATCTTTTACAAATGGATCATTTGATTATAACCAAATTCACATAGCTTTATTAGATAAAGAGTTCATTGTATTTCAAACTTTGAAAGTAATATATTATTATAAAGTTATGCATTTTGGATTAAAGAACACAAGTGTCACTTACTAAAAAAAAATGCAAAAGATTTTTGATAATATGCTTCACAAAAGTATCAAATGCTATGTTAATGATTTGATGGTGAAGTCAAAGAAAATGATTAATTATTTTGTTGATCTTTACCATATATTTATAAGATAGCAATGATACCAAATGAAGATGAATGTTCTAAAATGAGCTTTCAAAGTATCTTCAAGCAAGGTTTTAAGATTCATTATACAAAATTGTGGGATTGAGATTGATCAATAAAAGCAATTATGAAAATGCCAAGGCCACATAATCTTCATGAACTTAAAAGTTTACAAGGAAGATTAGCTTATATTCAACATCTTATATTCAATTTGGCTGATTGATGTCAACCATTTAGTCAATTGATGAATAAGGATGTTCCTTTTGTTTGGGATGAGACTGTAAGAATGCTTTTAAAAGCATTAAAGCTTATTTGTTAAGACCCACTGTTTCAAAGGCACTCATACAAAGATTTCCCTTAATCTTTATGTTGTTAAACAAGAAAGTTCTTTAGGAGCATTTTTGGCACAACAAAATGATGAAGGAAAATAGACAACACTCTCAATGCTGCCAAGTTAAATTATCTCCTACTGAAAAAGAATCATTAACATTTAATTTTCATAGTGAAAAAATTGAGGCATTACTTGCAAACTCATTCTATTCATTTGGTCTCATGAGTGGGTTCTCTTAAATATCTCATGTCCAAGTTTATACTTAATGAAAACTAACAAATGGCTTTTATTTGTTGCAAGAATTTGACGTCACATATATTTCACAAAAAATCGTTAAATGACAAGCTCTTGCTAAATTTTTTGTAGACCATTTGATCCAAGATGATTGGGAATTCTCTAAAAATTTGCTTAACGAAAATGTTTTTTTTTTCATTGAAATTGTCAAACCATGAAAATTATTCTCCGATGAAGTTTCTCACCAAGATAGAGTTAGAATAGGTGTTGTCTTTGTCATTTGGATAGAGAAGTGTTGCTTTATGCATTTACTCTCATTGAAAACTATTCTAATAATGTAGCAGACTACAAAGCTTTAATCATTGAATTGAAAATGGCAATAGATATTAAAATTACCTAATTGGAAGTATTTCGTGATTTAAAGTTGATCATTAACCAATTACCTTCACTTTATGATGTAAAGAAGCTTAGGTATGTCAACTACATGAAAAAGTTTTTGAAATGGTTTGATAATGTTATTTTGGAGCATGTGCCAAGAAAGGAGAATAAAAAAATAGATTCTCTAATTAATTTGATGTTAGTAATTTCATTTTCCCAATATAGAAGTAAAAGTTTTTCTGAGTTTTGCCACCAATCACGTTATATGAAGACAAACTATACGAAATCCAATGTTGTTTCAATCTTAGAAGTTGAAAAAAAAGATTGACAATAACCATTGATTGATTACCTAAAACATAAAATACTATGCAAAGATTTAAGGCATATAATAGAAGTGAGATGTCAAACTCCTCGATTTATCTATTTCAAAAGTACATTTTAACGTCGCCCTTTTGATGTAGTACTTCTTTTTTGTTTAAGGAAAAACAAAAAAAGCATCTAGAGTTTTACAGGAAGCTAATTCTTAGATTTGTAGTGCAAGGAGCAAAGAAAAAAAAATTGTTTAGGGGTGCCAAAATAAAATTATGTATTATATACAATCAAAGTAATTATTGAAAAAATAGTATATAAGACACCAAATTTAAATACTACGGAATCAGAATTACATAACAATGCATAAAATTGTTTTAATGAATAAAAAATATTTTCAAATATTATAATCCTATTTCTTATTGAAATAAAAGATTTAATAAAAAATTAGGCTGAATATTAAAAAAAAAAAAATCAAATCTAACTATCAACTTAAAAAGACAAAGGGCTTATATACCTTTATAAATCTTTAAAGAATTATGGTAACTTTAAAGAAAAAAAAAAAAAGCAATACAAGTTAAATAAGCGATTAATTTTGCATAAAAAAATTCATTTTTTTCCTTGGCTTGATTTTTCTATTATTATTAACATAAAAATAAATCAATTGGGATAAACATTAATATTAGTGCTTATTTGATTGATTGAAAATAAAAACACTCGATTTACAACATTATAAGCTCAAGTATAATCATTCTTACAAAAAACATTATACAAAATTAAGTTAATAATCATTTCCACTGTCGGTTTTGGCTTCAAATACTGGCTCCATTGCGCTGACATGGTCCGATGAAAGATTGATTTTTGGACTCTCCGCTCTCGACCAGTGACAGGGTGCCCCTGCTTGAGACTAGAAAAGTAACCATATTGGGAACAAATTTCTGAACCTTTACATATTTGTGAAGAACATTTACCTGCAGTCCTGACAGAGTTCACAAGATGTTGTTAATATAGTGGCTATACTACTATAACTATGCAGTAGAGGTAGAAAACAAAACCCTAATATAAGGATAACGATGTACTAAAGCAGTAAAATAATTTCTATATAATCCCATACTAAGCCTATTTCAATTCACGAATTATCTATTCCCAGACTCAAAGGCTTCACCTGTTCTGGACATACTTCTATTTGTCACTGTTTCAAAATCATATAGTTGAGAGACATTATCATTCTGTGCCTTCCATAGTGAGCTAAAACCATGGTTATGTTACTGGTATGCTACCCATCTAGATCAATCGGTTTGTTTTTTTTTTTTTTTGTAGTTACATTGTCAGCTCTTGGATGTTCGTTAGTTGGCATGACCAAGTTACAGACTATAGCGAGAATTTTTAAGGATCGTAAAAGTTGAGAGAAATGAAGTGAGGTTTGCCAAAGCCTTGAAATCAGCTTCAAAAGCTAAAAGATTTTGGTAACATGAACAGTGAATAAGGTAACAAAATTGTAAAACATAAACTTGGATTTTAAGGTTGTTAGAAAGACCCTAAATTTTGTTTTCAAGGTTAGTAAAAAACCCATAAACAACGTCCAGTATTATTGGTTGCTACTTGTAAATTATTAATGGAATTAACTAATGTCCAAAAACCACATAAATACAATTTAAGTAATATGTAAAAGGGGAGGAAAACTTGGTTATTTATCTATTTGAAAGAAACCATCGCCATAATAAGGGCTACTTAAAAGGTGTTGAGGGTATGAAAAAAATGTTGTGAGGCAGTAACAATTGTTAGTAGACAAAATATTGTCATGCTAAGAACAAAATGGTAACCCAGTAGGAAGAGAAATCATGAAGAGGGGTTAAATAGTTGGTGAACGCGTAAGGTTGTGACTTTGGCAGACCTCATCTCGCTTCCCTCAAATTTTCTCTCTCAAAATCTTTCCTTCTCTCTATCACCTAGGCCATTTGTCGGTAATTTATTACAACCTTGGTCAAGCTACCTACCATTCATTCAAGGGCTGATGGTACTTCCGCAAAAACTGATTACCCAAATTAGGCAGCACACTGTAGCACAGGACATAAGCCACCCAACCGTTGGCCAAATAAGTCTTATTTGGACTATCCTGTAAGCATGGACAAGCACTGCCAGAAGTCGACTTTACTAGGTTAAAGTTTCACATAGTTTCCAAACATAAACACAAAAATGGACCCAACCATAAATTTGAGCTATTTATTTGTAGGAACTCTAAAATGGAGGAGGTTACACTGCATATGGACAAGATGATGAGAAAGAATCCAACATAGCTAATAGAGAAGGAAAGGGTTAATTCTTAGGGAGAGCTTATAGTTCATGGAGTCATGGCATGTGAAGGATAGGTGGAATAAAGAAGGTATGTATGGGCTATGATAAAGATGACAAGATAAAGAATATCAAGGATTATATCATAATTGAAGGGTTTTTAGAGTGGGAACTTCTAATTTTGCTTGATAAAGCACGTGAGGTACCAAAAAAAGAGCTAAAGATCCCAAACAAAGCAACTCATATGGTAAATATAAGGAAACGATGTGTAGGCATCACTGAATAAAAGGTGAGAAATCATATTGACATATTCTAGCAACATAGGAAAAATGCAAATATGCAAGAAACCATTAAATGGCAATATCCTTGACTAAGGGTATGATCTCATGTCTTGAGGACAGATAATGAGTATATGAGACTCAAAAATGGGATGAGGGGAGAGACTCCTACCATTATGTCACCCTTAGTCTATCCAACTTGTCACTTTTCCAACCTGATTGCCATTTTTCCATTACTTACAGTGTGACATGGTACAATTTTAAAATGATGCTACCCTTCATGCAAGTACCATAAAATTTATTACATCAATTTTTTAACTCTTAGATAATTTTTTTGAACCAACAATGATTCTTACTATCCCATGTCAGACTATGACTGAAGAAATCCCACTCTTCAGCCATGATTCTAGATTTTTCCTATTTCCATCTCCTTTATTATGAAAATGAGAATAGTTTAATGCCCCATTTTTGCTGAATTTTGATACAACATTTTGGAAAAAAATTTCTACCATTTTTCCTACTTGTTCAAATGTGCCTCTAATTTCATGTGTTTAGTTGTAGCTATTTGTTTTCAATGGTGAAAACGAAGAATACAAGTATCCCATCTAGCCATCCCTTTTGTTTCCTCCCTCAATCCTATTCGGGTCGCCTGTCATCACAATTTCACTTTTTCTAGTCAATTTTTTTTTACTTTGACATCTTTATTTTAACTTTATTATGAATTAAAATATTTCCTAAAAACTTTATATATATATATATATATATATTTATAAAGATAGAGGTCAAAGGTAGAAACTTATTACAAAAAAATTCAAACTGTGACACCAAGGGAGTTTTTCTCATGTCATAATCATTGTCAACTTTTTTTAGGCTCTGTTCTTTCATAGAAATCAGCTTTTAAAAAATGTTTTATGAAAAATATTGATTTTTTTTTAAAAGTAAAAATTTTTTATTCGTTGGATGATTCAATAAAAATATTTTCTATTATTTGTTGTTTTATGAAAAATTTGCTCTTTTCTCAAATGGTAATATTAATATAATTATTAAAATATTAAAAATTATTTATTATTAAAATATTGAAATTTATTTATTATTTAAATATTAAAACATTCTTTGGTTAAAAAAATTAAAAATATTCAAATTTTAATATTAATACTTTAAAAAGCAATATTAAAAACTAAAATAATACTATTTATTATTAAAGCATTATTTATATTAATATTTTAAAATATTTAAAATACTATTACTATCAAATACTATCTATATTAATATAAGAATATTAACAATAGTAATATTTATTATTAAAAAATATTAAATCATCAAAAGATATTATTTATTTCCATTTATTATTAAAATAGTAATATAAAAACATGTCACTAAAATATACTATATATTTTAAATTAAAAAATATTAAGAGAGGATTAAAAATATTCACATTACTAAAATAATATTAGTGTTGTGTTAAATTATATTCATTATTAAAATAAGAAAACTATTATTTATTATATTATTAATAATATAATACTATTTATTTTTAATAATATTTAGAATCAAAATATTTAAAATTAAAATATTAAAAGATCATTTTATATTAATATTTTAACATTTTAAATATTTTTTGAAGTAAAATTAAATAAAATAATTTTTATTAATATAATAATATTTCGCAATAGGTCAAATTCAAACTTAAAAAATCATATCCAACATCTCACTCAAGTCAAAACAAACTCACAAGCTTGACGAGTAACCCTACCCATGAATAGCTCTCTTCTTAAAAATGCTTTCCACTTTTGAAAAGATGAAGCATTTTTCCAAAAAATATACTTTATTTTCCTTTGACCAGCAAGATATTTTTCATTAATCAATTTATTTTTTGTCAAACAAACATAAAAAATATAAAAAATTATTTTCTGCAAGTAATTTTTTACGAAACAAACGAAACCTTAATTCTCTTTACTTACCAAATGAAAATGTTTAATCATTATATATATAGTTAAGTTACAATGAAATCAAAGAGATGAAAAAGTAAGAAAGAAACTAAATAAAAAAAATACAATATAATTATTAACATTTAAACCAATATTTTCTAATTGATAAGTTATGTATATTTACTACTTTTAATATCTTTCCCTTTTTTCTTATAACAAGAAGATATGTAAACTAACTCCACATTAAATATAAGAACTATATAGGAAATCTACAATGAACATTATTCAAGTGAATTTTCTCAAAAGATGAGTTTTTTATTTTTAGTTATAAAAAGTTATAACTTTCTTGACCAAAAAGATTACTATAACTGTCACACTATCACTTATGAAATTTATTTATTAGAGTTCCAACTTACAAAACCTTAACTTGCAAAGAAACACAAGGTTATGGAACATTATTTGCAAGAATAGAAATCCGATGCTTTTAATATTACATTTAACACCACATATTACAAGAATAAAAGATAAAATTTGAAGAAATAAATTACTTTTGCCCTCCACGTACAACATTTGTAACTTTTAAAAGCAAATCAAGTTTGTTTTTGTCTTTTTGACTTTTTACCTTGAAACTTTCAAAGAAGGATACCGGTTGCAAAATTTTATTAACCCAATCTAATCTATAGGTGAACGAACATTTCAATCATTACCTCCTATGACTCAAATGGGAGTAATGCATCAATAGTGCAGGGAAGAATAGTGCACTGCAGTTAAGAATAAAAATATCACAATAAAACTTAATAAAAGTCACAGTGTCAGGTTTTATAATAAAATAAAGAAAAATGTGTACAAGATGTTAGGAGAGTTTTATGAAAAAAATAACCAAAAAAAATGGAGGAGACAAAGTTTGAAAAATTCATGTCTTACTGATCAATAATATGTAATGTAGAGTAAATGTTTAAGTTAAACGGAAAGAGCGACAACTAGTTCCAGGTGCTGTTTGTTTTCACAGCCAAAACACAGTGTTTTCACAGACAAAGTACAGTGCTCTACCCCATTCTTAGCCCTTAATACAAGAAAAAAAAATGGACAAAAACTAAAAGAAATCACCTTTAATACCATAGTTATAACTAGGATAAGATTTACACCTTCAGAAGTAAAGTACAACTTTAATTAGATGGTAAACCTAAAAGATTTAACTCATTCACTGTTAAAGAAAGAGAAAGGAAAACATACCAATTTAAAGTGCCCAGCATGAATTCAAAACTGCAGATTGGGCGAGCAAAATCAAATATCCAAGTCATCGTCTGGGTCCTCGTCAGAATCTGGCATCTCATCATCGGAATCACGGTAATATATAATCTCACCCCTGCCAGAGTCCTCACTTGTCTGCACTGTTTCTGTGGCACCAACTGGCCTCTCATGTTTGCTATCAGCCAGAGATCTTCGGCCATCATAAATTTGTATGGGTTTACCATTACCTAAAGAAAGCAAAAAGGCCAATCCAAACAAGATAGAGAGAGAGTTATAAATTCAACAAATGACATAAAATGAGACCTAATAGAAAGCAAATAAATGCTAAAATTCAAGCACACAATTATAACCTATCCATATTTTCTACCTTGGTGCTCAAAAGGAAGTACAACATTGGCCTTATCAATTCGCTCTTTCTCTGATAACTGCAGACTGAACTGGACCTGTAAAAGAAACAATAATTCAGCCCCAAATGACACCTTCAGACTGAACTGGCCTATAACAACTGGAACTAGATAAATTGTGCACATGCATTTATAAGCCAGGTCACTATTTTTCTTTTGCTAGAGGTGTACACTAATTCATTGAGCAAAGGAAAGCATTCATGCAGGTATTAGTGTAACCTCACACTTAAAGAAAGAAGAGGGAAAGGCAGGAGGGAAAGATGGAGTTTAAGCTATGACCTTCGGCACAAGACCTTGATTAATTGCTCCTTCAGATGACAAAGCTGTAAAGTTGACGCCTAAATGCTCAACGTGAACTTCTTCTAACTACATATTGGTTTAAAAACTACCATGTCAGTCTGCTGCTATCTTAGTCAGTAGAAAAAGGATCCAAGAGAGAGATGAGATAGGGAAAGTTACCATCACACGGACCCGTCCATTTCTCCGCTTAAATCTAACATGAAACTTTCCTTTCTTTAGGTTATGCTCGATCAAAGAGAAATTTTCCATATCACCTCTCTGTCCATTTGCAGGTTGATGCAATGGTTCTAAACCGGCCACCATAGATGACAAATATTCCAGAACAGCTGTAACCTTGGCCTCATGAAGGTCTGAATGAAGTAACCAAAAGATACTGGAAACCTGATCTGCAACCATAAAATAACACTGAGAAAAAAGCATCCAAAAAGGACTCACGCACTGCAGGTATCACTTATACCAATCAATTTCAAATGCTTCCACTAAAACTCAGAAAGCTGTCCTTTTAATAAAATCAACAAAGGTATTGTTACCAAACAACATAGGATTTTGCAGCCATGAAACTGAAATCTTTAAAGGGAAAAAGTCATAAAACACCACTAACCTTCCAAGAGAACTAAAGATACAGCAAATGGCATGTAAATACGAGAAATTTCAGAAAACTGAATGATTTCAGGGAGATGGATTAAGGCAGTAAAGTATGTATATATACCATGGCTACGAAGTTTGCTTAACAGGCCTGAAACTGATGACATGGATGCATGTCTCAACATTTCATCTACCTGGTAGAAATAGAAAAACCCAATACAATCAGAGTCGGAAATTCTAGTAACATGACAAACAAGAAAACAGGACTCAGCACTAACTCGACTAAGGACTAATTTCAGAATAGTTGGTTAGTTACAACTTGCAAGAATCCTTTTAGTCTCTTTAACCCAGTATACATCAGTTCAAGAATAAAAATTGAACAATGACAAAATTTCCTCCCTTGGTAATTCTTTCTCCCTTTTACTAAAACAAGTTTCCAAAATAAAATTTAAACCTATCATGGTTAAAGTCTCATCAAAGTTTGCAATTGAGCAAAGGAGAATCTTCTCAAGTAGAAAAGTTGTTCAATCTTTTAATTATCAACTTTCAAGTTTACTTCAACCCAAAATGCATTCAGTGATTAAACATTTTGTACCATAATACAGAAAGCCATGTAAGAACAAGTTTTTTTTTTTTTTTGAAAAGCAGAGTAATTTCATTAATAAGTGAAGTTGAACCATGCAAGATCAACTTAATAAATTATATGCAGAAATAAATTATTATAAACTTTACAATTTTTTTCCTACTTACATCATACCCCTTATATGTTCATATAGTTCTAAGCAGTAAATGAAACAGGATATTAGCTTTTTTATCTCATTCTAGTACAACACCAAAACTTGTCAGCCTATCCAAAGTTTTTTTCTTTTTTTCTTTTTTTTTTAGCTTTGGGCTATTCTATCCACATGAATTGTGACTCAAAATTCAATAAACTGGAGAACAAAGTTAATGAGCGTCAATCAAGAGATTGCAAAGCTTCAACAAGCCATGACTGGCATCCATGCTTATGAAAAATGAGACAAACAATGTACTCTCCCCTCCTCTGGTGACGTACAACAAAGCATTATCAGGCAAAATTACAACCAAGCATTCTACCAAACAACAAAACAATACAAAAACATCTATATCCAATCAATCAATTTAGTGTTTAGGTAAAGAAAATAAAGTTTCTATGAATCCCATAAAGCTCTTCATTTTAAACGATGAAAATGCACATTCTATTCTGTATAGTGCCTTTCTTTTCTCTGATTGTACATATCCCTCATAATATTTTTTGGTACTTTGTTGTTTTTAGAGAGGAAACCTCCTTGTACTTCCTCAAGAGGACATAGTACTCCTCACATGGAAAATTGATGACATTTTTTGTTCTTGGCACTTATTCGCACTTAATGAAGTTTCGATAGATTAAAGCAGAATAGCATATTGATAGAAAATTGACGAGATTTCTTGTTCTCAACACATATTGGTGCTTAATGAAGTTTCCATGCATTAAATCAGAATAGCGTATTTGACAAAATTCATGCTAAGCTCCAAATTTCTTGATTGTACTCCTTTGCAAACTAGACAAAGTTACCTAGCTAGATATCCAACAAAAATATTTTAAAGAAATAATTATCATATAATGCCAACATGCTCATTTGAACTTTGTCTAAACTTCACATTTTTGCTTTTCCCTACATGGGATGTTTTGCAATTTATAAAAAAGATTAAATTTCACTCAATCAAATATTAACAAGCATGATAAAGAGGATTACCGAGTCTATGGCAACAGAAAATCGTATCTTTCCACCTCCTACTAATCCTGCAAAAAAACCACAAACAACAATCCTAAATACTCGTAAAAAACCATAGTCATTGGATAAAGCAACCGCTGTCTTTCACACTTGAAAAAGCTAAGAATAAAAATTACCTTTGCCAAGTTCAACAATTGAATTGTACAACTTATCCATATGTTTCACATCCTTAAAAACATTAGTAGTTCTCGAAATCGAAGTTTCATGAGAACAAGCCATGAAATTTCCAGTCTCTGTTAACCGAGACTTCCAACCAAGAGGATCACTATAACAATCTAAAGTTTGAATCCTGAAATGTCACCACTAAAAATCAATTTTACAAAAACAATAAAATTATTGCAGTTTTATAGCTTCAATTTATCAGAAGATTTGATTCACCGTTTATCCGATGAAACGACGTCGATTCCTTTGTTTTTCAACAACTCCAAATAGAACGAGGGACTCCGGGAAAAACAAACGACGACAAGGCCTCTGCAACAAACAAATAAATAATAATTACTCAAAGTTCAAGACAAGTAGGGTTAATTAAACGATGTCGGTTTTGTTTCTAAGAAAAACAAAGGGAAGCGAACCGCGACTGCGATTTTCCGGCGAGAATGAAGGAGGAGAGCTGGGAAAGCACGTGAGCGAACACGTGGAAGCCAAAGGGAGAAGCAATGGAGTCCTTGATGGTGAGCGCAGGCGCGTGCTCTCCTTCTAGAGCTCCATCTCTTAGTAATCTGCAAATTGATTCCGCCATTGTTGTTGCTGCTACTGAGTGAGTTGTGTCTTTTCGATTGTGTGAAAAACCCTACAGAAAAAGGTTCTTGCACGGTTTTTACAAGGGAACCCTGAATTTCTTTGTTATTACTGGAATGAATTTAAAGTTAAGAGTTTTTTATTGCTTTCAGCCATTAAACTTTTAATTCATTGGATCATACGCTTTTCTTATAACAGCCATTGCCCATTGTCAGCGCAAGGCAAAATGCATTAGATTAGATCCGGGTAAACGTATCATCTAAAGCACGATTTTATAACATAATATAAATAAGATATTTAAAAAGATATAAAAGTAATAGTTTAAAATTTTAATAATAATTATATAAAAATTTAATTAAATAAAAAAATATATTTTATATTTTTATATTAATATAAATTACGACACATAATTTTCATATAAAAAATAATATAAATATATAAATTTTAATATTTTATATAATATAAATATATAAATTATCATATATAATCTAAGGTTATTTTTTAATTTATTATAATTAAGTTTAATTATAAAAATTTTTATACAAGTTAATTATTTTTATTTAATATGATTTTTTTTTATAAAAAATGTCCATTTTAAAAAATAGATAAATAAAGAAGTTGCATAACAAGAAAAAGTCACATTAGTTTTTTTAGTAAAAATTTCAACACAGTTATATTTTTATCTAAATCCTCCCTTATAATAAAATCTTGAATCATATTTGGTATCATCAATCAAATGTACAAATCCAATTGAGAATTGACACAGAATCTAAATTAAATTATAAAAATAGTAAAACAGAAGGATATAAATATTATTTAATATAAATTTTAAATATTTATTGATTTTTTGAATTATTTAAACATTCAATAAAACATATTCAATTAAAAGAAATAATTACCTAACTTTTTTTTTCACTTATTTTTTTTCTATTTCTTATGTTTTTATTAATTTTTTCTTTTTTAAACCTAATCTAGGGACAAGTCTTCGCCCATCCAAAAAAATTTGATAATATTATCTATAAAACCAATTAAAGTTGTCCCCAATTTTAAATTATTAAACAAATCATACACCAAACAAAATTTTGACTATCATTTATTATGTTTTATTGTTTCTTGCAAGTTAAATTATTTTTTTTATTTTTTAAATGATAATATTAATAAAAATAAATTTTAAAAGTTTTTCAACAATATAAATTTTTAGACAATTTATATGCCATGTGTCTCAACAAAATTTCTAAAATAAGAATAATAAAGTAAGTTAACTTCAAAAAATAATATTATAGTACTTCACTCAATTTAAATAAAAAATAAGCTTAGACTCAATACTTGATATGGATTCTTGACATATATGATTAGCAACCAAAAGTAAAATAATATATACTAAATTAAGAGTAATTTTTTTATTTTTGTCTATTTAATTTTGAAATTTACGCATGAATTAAATTTTTTTAATCTCAATAGAAAGGCCGGGATAAGAATACAAAATTAATTAAATTAATAATTGAATAAATTAAATATTATTATTTTTAAATTTTAAAAATCAATATTTTAAAACAATTAAGTTGATTTATTATTATTGTTATTATTAGTATTTTTAATGAATATTGTTATTATTTATCATTTTTTTGGCTAACCACTGTCATTCAAGTGTACAGTTCAATCACATTATAAGTCACTAAAGATAGTTTGATTATTCAAAATTAAAGTTTTACTACCTAAAAAGAAAGATAATCATAATGAATGCTTTTTCTAATGGTGGAGTAGGACAATGTGTCCTTAAACCAGTTATATTATAAAACCTGCCCCCTCCTCCATCAATATCAGTATGAAAATTGGTTTCATGTTTCTTTAAAAAAAAAAAAAAACTTTGGTTTCATTATATGTGTTATTATTTTTTTTTATCAACCCATTAACTATTGTCCATTTATTTATTCATCCCATTTCAAAACCCAAGTCAATTAGTAGTTGAAGCATAATTTAGAAACCTAATTTAAAAAGCCAAGTCAATTATTTTATTTTTATGTACCATAATCAGCCTTAAGCTATATGTATGCATGGCATGCCGACAATGCTTCCTTAATTTAATAAAAAGTTTAGTAAATTAAGTTCCATCCCCATTAGGTGTTGAAACACTTTCTTGAGAAGACAACAGTAGTCAGATTAGATTTTTTTTTTTAATCCTTAGATTATATTATTTTGTAATTATAAAAAAATTTTAATTTAATATGCTCTTTATTCTTTTGTTTGTTTATATTGATCTATTAGATTATTTTAATTTAATAGCACCTTGTTTTTTATATGTTTGCATTAATCTATCATAGTATTTTAATTTAATATGGTGTTTATTTTTTTTATTTGTTTACATTGATCTGTTAAATTATTTTAATCTAATATGAGATTTATGTTTTTATTTGTTTGCATTGATCTGGTAGATTACATTTTTACAAATAGATAGAGAATTTTTATTTTATTAACTCATTATATTTATATGGTAATTAGTAATTTTATTCAAACTTTCATAAATATTGTTGTAGCTATCAAGTCAAGAACAATAAATTATTTTTTCCCTAAGAATGATAACCAAAATATATGACAACATCTTCTATTCTACAAGCCAATGCTACACATTCTCAATTCTACCTCACTAATTGAAGTACCTAGCATTATATCTACTCCTTTAATTCCTAAAACTCATCCTTCTAAAATTTTTGGAGTTGAAGTTGAGACAATTTATTTATCTAATTCAAAAAGTGATCTAGGATTGCAGAAGGAAATATATGAGTATCTGGTTAATATATGTGATAAAATTCAAAGAGCTTTGTATAAAGGTTGGATCATATCAACCTAATCTTTTAGACTGTCTTGCTTGTAATTTAGAAAAGCATCCTTATTACTTTCAAGTACTATGGTTCAAATAATTTTTTTAGTTAGAATAGTTAATTAATGATTTTGTTTGCCATGCTATCTCTTTAATGAAAAGTCAAGTGGGTGCATTGGATCAATTGTATTTACTTAATAATTAGAAAAAGGTACATGAAAGATGCAATTGTATTTTTTTACTCATATGGGAAAATATATGACTTCGCCACAATCAAGGCACAATGGGCTTATGTACATTTAATGACTCAAGCTCAATATATTAGAGTATCACTTGATAGGCAAACAATATAACAAATTATAGTTAATAGTCTATGCCTAAAAAGTATTATAAATGTTAATTGTTCGATGCTTGACATTTTAGGGTTGTGCCTTTAGAGATCATGATGAAAGCTTAGGAATAAAAATTAGTGAAAAACTTTCTTGAGTCGATAAAATTATTGAAAGATTTTGTTTGTCAAATTATGTCAAATCTTATAGTTTTGACATATAAAATTTTTGCAAATAGGGATATAATGAAGCAAGTAATATGCTTAGAGATTTAAATAGTTTACAAGCTTCGATTTTGAATGAGTGTGAATGTATTTATTATGTTCATTGTTTTGCTCATCAACTTTAATTAGCATTGGTTGTAGTAGTTACAGAAAGTGGTTGAAGTGTATCAATTTTTTAAAGACTTAGCTAATATTGTTAATGTGGTTTGTGCATCTTTCAAACATCATGATGAATTACAATAAGCTCAAGCAATCGAAATTGATCATTTAATTTTTAATGATGAGTTGGCAAATGGAATTGGTATGAGTCAAGGGGCTTATAATGTCTTGGTGACATTTGAGGAATTCTCATTTGAATTCAAGTATCAATTTAATGAAAATGTTTCATGTAATATGCAATATTTTTAAAAATATAAAAAAATATTGCACCTAATTATTCTCAACGAGAAGATACTCATATTGTATATAATAGATCAAGATCTTTTAAATTTATTTTTATTTTACTTGTGATGAAGGAAATTATAGAAATTACTAGTAATTTTTTTCAAGTTTTACAATGTCATTCTCAAGAAATATTGAATGTCATAAATCTTATCTTAACAACAAAAAAAATTGATTCAAAAAGTTTAGAGAAACTGGACAAGATGAATTATTGAATAACATGATATCATATTGTGAGACTTGATAGTTAGATTCTCTAAATATGAATGCTTAATACATGGTAAGTCGTGGTTGTAACAAGAAAGAAAATGTTATAATGGAGGACAAAACTTAGATGATATTTTTTAGGTAAAATTTGTAAAGTTACTTCTTAAATATGATTTAATAAAAAATCTAAATCAATATATTGATAGAGTTCAATTTGATAATCCATAATATGTAAAAAAAATTATTAAAAGTATCATTAATAATTCAAATTTAATAGGTATTTATTCAACAATAAAATTTTGTAAAAAATGCTTATCTAAAAAATATATCAAAATTTATTAATTTTTTTAAAATTTTGCATACTTGATCTATATAACAAGACTTTTTAATTTATTAATTTATTATTTTTATTTTTATTTTTTATTTAATGATTTTTAGTAAAAAACTTCACAAACTTCATTTAAGGAACTTCATCTAAGTCTTTTCTTATAATGGATCATCATTATCAAACAGATATATATTTGTGCTACAATAGATACTTAGTTGTCGGAATTGAACAATAGATTTAATGAGAATGTTATTTAGTTGCCTACTCTTATTACAACTCCAAATGCCAAAGAGTCTTTCAAATTATTTGATATTGAAAAAATTTGTAACTTTATTAACATATTTTATCTAAAGGATTTTATTCACTAGGAGAAAAAGTGCCCTCTATATGGTTAAGAGATTATGAAATTAATGTGTCAACATTATGATTTGAGAAAATATCAACACTTTCTGAACTTTGTAGAATATAAGTTGAAAGTGAAAGGTCATAGACACTTGTTGAAAGATAGAGTCATCTCATATTAACTTTTTCGATTTCAACTATATATAAAAAGCATATTTTTTCAACTATGAATATTGTGAAGACTCAATTTCACACTAAGATAGAATAAGATTATTTTATAATTCTTTGACTATCTACATTGAGAAAGAAATTGTTGAAAAATTTATACTTATTTGAAAATTTTATACTTATGCAAAAAGTGATAATTTTCAGTATGATGAAAGAACAAAAAGTGAAATTCAAATAATATTTTTATTTTTATAGTGTATCCATGTTTAATATTATAATTTTTAAATTTTTGTGAAAAAAATTGAAACTATTATTATTATTCACTATTTCAACCCCTTGTTATGATTTTGCTAGCTTCACTTCTGATGTACTCAAAAGGAAAG